TCTGCCAGCACAGTCATGTGTATGCGTCAGGATGTATGTTGCTCCAGCCTGGGCAAAGCCTCCCAGCGCTCTGCTAACTTCAGGCCTTCCCTTGAAATCTCAAACCAGGAAGGCGTTCCCAGGCTGACACCTGAAGTCACCTGAGAAGAGCAGCTTTCCCCTTTCTCCGACTAGTGGCACCCTGTGAAGTGTCATTCTTTTCTCTCTTTCACAAACTTCATCAGTATTACAAAGCCTTTGTGACTGGGGCACTGTGGCTACCTCTGGGTTCTGGCATTGGGTCCTCTTCTGTCTTGGGTAGCATCAGACATCCCCCTGGCGCCCTTGGCCTTGGCTATCAAGCACTCATCTGGCGCTTCTTGCTTCTCCACCTGGTCTGGCTTCTTAAGATCTGCAGATCCTTCCACAAGAGCATAGGGTCCCAGTACCTGATGCAGCAGGGTAAAAGATGAAGAACAGTGAAGAATGGCTCCTTCCTGGTCCTTGGGGAACTTATAAATATCACTCAACTCATCCTGGCAACCCCTAGTTGTTCATAAAGCAAGCGACTACAGTGGTCTTTTTCTTCCCAGTGGTCGTGGAGCATAAGTGATTAAAAACTCAGACCCTGGGGTTGGAGAGACCTGCTTTCAAATCCTGGCTCCCTGTCACTAGCTGGGTGACTCGCCTCTTGCCTTCTGAGTTTTTAGGTATCAATTTGTACTTCACTAACATGTACTTCACTATACCTGCTGCATAGGCAGATAAGATGCTGTTTGTAAAGCACATAGCATAATGCCTGGCATTTGGTGAGTGCTTGGCGAAAGGTAGCTGTTGTCCTTATTACTATTACCTACAGATGGACAGCAGGACATGCTAGATAATGTGACAACTCAGTGTTGTAACCAGGAAGGGCTGGGTTCAGTTCTGGATCCGCCTTGAATTAGCCTTGTGCTAGTCTGTGTGCCTCATTTTCTTCATCGGTAAGATGTAGGTGACACTATCTGGTGCTTTGTCCTTGTAGCTGATATTTCTCAAATGCTAACTGTGTCCTGGGCCCTGTTGCAAGGGCTTCTGGTGTTAATTCATTTGCTCTTCACCATATATATACCTGCTCAAGGCCCAGAGGTAGTATGCCCAGGGTCAGGCAGACAGGAACAGATGAAGCTGAGATTCCAGCCCAGGCGGTCCAGCCCCAGAGCCTGCACATCTATCTTTCTCATTGTGAAGAATCAAATGGTATAATGGTTATGAAACTGCTTTCAGAGTGGGAAGCACTCTACAAACTTAAGAGATTATTGCTATTTATCCAAGTCTTTTGTGGTTTGATCTTTAACTGGGATCCTTACCTTATCTAGCAGGGCATAAATTTAGGGGGCTACTTCAGGTTTTCTCAAAACCTTTTAATCACTTCCTGTTATGAGTTGAATTGTGTCTCCGCCAAAATACATATTGAAGTCTAGCACCTGGTACCTTGGAATATGACCTTATTTGGAAATAGGTCATCAAGTTAAAATGAGGTCATTAAGCCCTGGCTGGTGTGGCTCCATTGGTTAGGCATTGCACCACAGGGCAAAGGGTCACTGGTTCGATTCCCCATCAGGGCACATGCTGCAGGTTTGGTCCCCAATCAGGACACCTGTGAGAGGAAACCAATCGATGTTTCTCTTCCTTTCTCCCTCCCTTCCCCTGTCTTTTAAATAAATAAACATTTTTTTTAAAATGAGGTAACTGGGATGGGCCCTCATCTGATGACTGGTATCCTTATAAAAAGGGAGACTTTGGACACAGACACACACAGAAGGAGGACCATGTGAAATCACAGAACACCACAAAAAGATGGAGGACCAAGGTGCTCGCTTCCCAGCAAAGGAACGCCCGAGGCCACCAGAAGCCAGGAGCAAGGCCTGGAGCCCATCCTCAGAGCCGTCAGAGGAGCAGGGCCCTGCCAGCACCTTGATTTTGGACTGCGAGCCTCCAGAATTGTGAGATGAAACATTTTCTGCCGTTCTAAGCCATCCAATTTGTGGCACTTTGTGTGGCAGCCCTAGGAAATGTACACCTAAGATGTAGGGAGGTGGAGATGAAGGTGAAGAAGGAGATGAGTGGGAACATCAAGGCTGTGGATGAGGGGTAGTAAGAGGATGCTCAGAAGTCCAAATGTCCTTGGACATGTGCATGCGTGTATCTGTGCTTTGTCAATGTGAAAACTGATCTGTGAGCTCACCAAGTCTGGAGATTTTTCCTCTCTGAGAAGGACATGTGAGAGGCAAAATGAACAAGTGGTCTTCCATCTCCCCCGAAACAGGTGGGAAAAAGGAAGTGAGAAACAGGGGAGACAACTTTCTAAGCCCCTTGCGCCAGTGAATAGGAGAAGTGGGATGAGAAATCGGGTTTTCTGACTCCCGGCATGCAGACCCACCCTCGGAGCCTTATTTTTGCTTGGCACACAGAAATTCACTGTTCCTGTGACAACTTATTTCACAAGATTACATTCTGCCTTGGTGTTTTTTTTTTAAAGGAAACCTTTGACTGAAATATAATATACAGAAATGATCACAGATCATAAGTGGACAGCTCAACGTGTCTACATCTGTGTAAGCAGCACCCAGACAAAGAATTAGCACATCGCCCGCACCCCTGCGGCCCTCCCGCCCCTCCCAGTCAGCAAGGCCAACAAAGGCACCAGTATCCTGACTTCTAACATCGAAGACTGATTTTGCCTGTTTCTGAGCTTGATATAAATGGGATTTCACAGTACTCTTTTGTGTGTGCCTTCCTTCACTCCACATTATGTCTGTGTGAGATTTGTGTGTGTTTTGCATATGGAGTAGTACATGCTCACTGCGGTAGAGTATTCTGCAGTTCTGGTCTTATGAACCAAATCAAGAGGTCCGCAGAGAGAGAAGTGTCCTGAAATCATTCAAGCTGGTCCTTAAAAACAAAAAGTTAAAGCAGCCAAATTGCTGAGGCAACAACAAAAAAGTTGGTTAATCTTTACAAATTGGACTCGATTTATCAGCCATCTATGAAAAGCCACTTTCCCAGGTCACTCCCCGATCCCCTTTCCTCCTCTTGCTGCTAGGGTTCCCACAGCCCCAGCTGCGTCACACTGGGGGTGACTCAGTCTGGATGAATAGGTCAGGGTGGAGGTTAACGAGCTGTGTTCTACGTGGGTGACCTCAGTCACTCAGGGCCAGACTGATTCCCATTTTTCCAGTGGGGTTTCTGTACCTCCACACAGATGGCATTGCAGCCACCTTCACAGAGTCAGGGAAGCTGCCTCTCCCATCTGAAATTTTGGGGTCATTCCTCTTGTCTCAATCGTCCTCAGGATAAACTCCTGAAGCCCCAGGCCAGCCAGAGGCAGAATGGCCTCTGCGGAAGGCGGTTGGTCCTCCTGCTGAGCCTCTCCCTGTGCAGCCACTGCTAACAGTCACTCCCACAGCTTTCTCAGGCTCTGCCCTTCATTCCCAAGAGCAGCTTGGCTAGAAAGGGGCTGCACCCTCTACTTTCATCTTTTACTTGCCAGACCACAATTGGCCCTGATTTCTTCATGCTGACCAACTGTTCTGGGGTCTCCCTTTTGCTGGTAACAATGATCTAATCCCAAAGTGCAATTTTAAGGGAGCCCGGATGCAACTCGACTGGACGTCAGTCCTGAGCCTGAGTCCATATATGGTACAGTCCCTGGACCAGGGCAGGGATAGTGCTGAGTGCAACACAGCTGATTCACCAGCTGTCCCTCTCCCTCCCTGAGCTGCGCCTGCCCACTCCAGTTTCCAGTGACATCAGCACTGGGCACCCGGAACAAAAGGTTATGGACTTCTTCGAGCCTTTGGGAGGTGGCAGTTTACTCAATTTTTACTTATTTCTCGGCTCCCCAATTCCTGGGAAGCTGTCCTTTCTGGAATGTAATAGAATAATAATATGACTGGTGCTTTTTCTTCAGTACTTCTCTTTCTTGTTGGAGGCCTGGCTCGGGGAGGCCAGGAGAGAAGACAGTTACAGCTCAGAGGCTTGCTCAAGCCCAACTGCAGAGACCGTTTTGAACAGGAAGCAGTTGCAGGGCCCCACCCGACACAAGCCCTTAGCTGGAGACTTGGCTGCTCTTTGGTCTCCACCCTTAAATAGTTTTTATTTTTTTGGCCTTCTTTTCAGTATGAGCAATGGAACTAAGAAACTCTCAGACACAGGAAAGAATATTGAAATCTGGATTACCAGCTCTATTCAAAGCTCATTAGTGAATAATCATGTTCTTTTTTTATGCCTTTTGAAAGCAAAGTCTTGGACTGGACTCCAGCAGTGGTGTGCCCGAGCCAGCTCAAACCAGTCATGAACTTAATTGTTAAATTTTCAGGAAATTTGCAAGCCAGTTGTTAAATACACTAATTATTAAGGATTAAGTTACATAAAGTTAAAATGGAAGAAATCTGATTTAAACAAAGGTATTCATTAAAACTCATTCTCTTCCTAGTTAGTTCACTGTGTTTTACTATTATCAGTGCTCTTGAGGTTATTCACACTATTGTGTGTGTCTGGTGGAAATCCCATACACCACTGTCGCTGTGCACATCTCTCCCCAGCTCCTTGTCCAGTAATGTCACACCAGAAGCTCAACATCAGGCATGATGGCAGTGTTTACGTGGAAAACACTACAAATCACGTCTTTGCCCCTCCATGGTCTCAGAGCCAGCTGTCGACGTGTAAACTTGGGGGTGAGGTGGTCAATAAAAAATGACTCACCTACTCCCTGCCCTCAAGGTACTTATAATGGAGTGAGGGAGACAAGTCCTTCACAGGTTGAGGTGCCAGTGTCTCCTCTAAGATGTCAGACAGGGAAGTTAAAGGGCATGAGCTTTGAGGTCAGAGAGACCTGCATTAGCATCCCAGTTTCGCCACTTGCTGACCACACCACAGCAGCCAGGGCAGGGCTCAGGCATGCTCCGGGACAGACAGACCAGAGGTTTTCAGCCGTCCTCTGTTCTGATTGGTCTGGCCATTAAACATTTTAAATATCAGTACTTACCCCGCAGGGGAGATACCAAGATTGTGAAGGTGGTTTTCCCAGAGCAAGGCACGCCCATTGCACTCCAGGTGTGCCGACACCGGCAATTTCCCCAAATGTGGGACACTTGCCTGCATGATTTGTGGTAGAGAGGGACTGCATTCTCCATGACCTGCAGGAGGGGAAGCATTTTAAATATCAGCCATGGTTATAATTAAGGGATCTTACAGACCTCTAGAGATCACCCCCATCGCACTAGGGCCCAGGCCTGATTGGGAGGAAAAGGCTCAGAGAATGGTACACAGGTTCCCAGCCTCTGGCTGAACTTCTAGAATTCAAATCTGGAAAACGCTACTTAGCATACTTCATCAAACCTGAGGCACCTTTGCTTGTGAGATACATCTCTATTTCAGGAACCACTATTAAAGAAAAAGTTGCTGCCAAATAAACAATGACATGCCATCAGTTGTAAGATCAATGTTAAATCAATAAGATGTTGTATGCAACCATTTAGGGCCAGGCAGGTCCATGGTATTTGTGCAGCTGGAATAATATTCATGGAGCTGTTGGGATGTCCAACATGCCTTTACTCATGGTGGGTGAGGCACACATGCTGCAAGCTGCATGTCTGTTTGCATGTCTGTATGGCACATGTCATGACCCTTGTTCCCCAGCATGACACTCATCATGGCACTTGTCCCCTTGAATGTCTCTCTCTAGTGAGAAGCCCCTACTTGTTTAAGTACAATAGGGGGACAAAGCTAGGGAAAAAATGCAGAGCATTACATAACATAACATAATTCTGAGTATACAAGCCCATTTTGTGTTATGGGAACCATTTATTGGACTCAGTCTCAAGGCTGTGAGAACACTGGTTATCAGGCCCCTCCAAGGCTATGGGAACACTTCTTCCCTTAGTTACCCAGACACCTGTGTGAGGAAGCCAGACTGTCTCCACTTACCCTACAAATGTTAAAATGAGGAAAAGTGTGCATCTTAGAATCAACCAAATATGATACTGCATCTTCCACCAAAGGTAAAGATTAATTCTTAAGATGCTGCCAATTTAGTCAAAATTGGCAGAGTAGGTACTCATGAGTTTCTAGGAAGACAGAGACCAAGGTAGAAAGGTGAGAGTAGGCTTATGGAGCTCCTTGAAGCCCAGCTAAAGGATGTGGACTTCCACCTGAAGGCAGTGGGCAGTCACTGGGGGTTCCTGGCAGAGGAGTATGATATCCCGGATCGTTTGGCCCCTGGTGTCTGAAATAGTAGTTATGACTCCATCTGTCAATATAAGAATGTCCAAACCTGTAGAGAATTTTTGTAAGAGTTTATTTGAGCTAAACTGATGACACGCTGGGAAGCATGATCTCAACTGCGCTGCTGAATGATAGTTTTGCAGTTCCTTCTGTACATTTGGAATTAAGGAGGGAGGTACGGAAATTACAGGAAGGTAGGGGAAAGCAAGTTACAAGATAGTTAAGAAGATCAAGTGCTCCCTTGAAGGTGATTATACCTGGGAGGGGTCTGAAAAAGATTACTCTGACAGTTCCAAGGTGTGTTAACCTAGGTGCAGCAAGAACAGGACAGGGCTGCTAAAGGCAAAGAAAACCCCCTCACGGAAAAAGTTCTAGGCCTGGGTCTTAACTGCCTACCATGATCTCCCCAGTTAGGAATTTATGATCAGATCTCACTGGGAAGTTACTCTCTGCCACTGAACTTGTCAGATTTATTATAGACCCCCTTCTTCATTCACACATCTCATATCAAAGCATGAATTCCCCTCTCACTCAAGAGAGTTGGACTGGAGCAACTGCTGAGCTCAACTTTGACTAGTGCTGGTCAGTGTCTTCACTCCTGTTACAAATGAGGATGCACTCACAGGGAAGCTCTCTTTTAATAAGGAGCTCAGCTATAATCCAGGAATTCCTGGGTATTTATCCAAGGAAAATAAAAACTCAAAGAGATATCTGCACCACCATGCTCATTGCAGTATTATTTACAACATCCAAGACATGGAAATACCCAAATGTCCATCAGTGGGTGAATGGGTAAAGAAAATGTGAGATATATATATTTTCTGTCCAGAAGGTATCCAGCCATGTACTATGAAAAACAGACATTTATCGAAACATTGTACATAGGACAATGATGCCTCAATCCCCTTCAAAGTAGGCACCTTGGGACCTCACACAGTTCTCCCAGTTGCTATTAGCTGCCCCGTTATATTTTACTGAATCTCATCAATGGTCTGAAATCTCTTCCCTTCCAAAGGTGATTTTAATTTTGGGAAAAGCCGGAGTTGCATGGTGCCAAATTTGAGCTGTAGAGGGCCTGAGTCACCTGGCTGATTTGATGTTTCACCAAAAAAAACTCTGCACAAGATGTGATGCATGAACTGTGTGGGCACATTTTTGTTATGAAGCTGCCAATCACCAGTTACCCATAGCTGCGGTCTTCTAAATCATCCAAATAGTTTCTGCAGAGGAATGTTTAAGCTTATGAAAAATTTGATGCAGATTCATTGCTCTACTCACTCAGTCATTTCAATGCGAGAGTCACACAGTACAAATGCTCACTCAACATCATCTACCACCCCAACTGACTAGTACAATGAAGTTGTCCTTGTTCACACATGCACTTTGCAGTCCACTCTGCTTGGCTGCCAGGTACATCGATGTTGTGCACAAACTGTTCTGATTATATTAATAATGGCTAGAGTTTTTCTGGACAGACCTTTATGTATCACATTTGTATATATCACAAATATATATATATATATATATATATATATATGTATGTATGTATGTATATATGGAATATTACATTTAATGGAACATTATTCAGTTATAAAAAAGAATGAAATCTTGCTATTTGTAACAGCATGGATGGACACTGAAGCCCTTATGCTAAGTAAAATAAGTCAGACAGAAAAGGATAAATACAATAGATGTAAACTATCCATAAAATCGTAAAAAATATATATAAAACCCAAGCTCATGGATATAGAGAACAGATTGTTGGTTGCTTGAGGCAAGGAGTGAGGGTGGGGATAATGAGTGAAAGGTGTCAAAAACTACAAATTTTCAGTTATAAGATGAATGTCATGAGAATGTAATTATAGTATGGTGACTATAGTTAATACTGTACCGTATATTTGAAAGTAGCTAGGAGAATGGATCTTAAAGTTCTTATCATGAGAAAAAAAATTTGTAACTGTGTATAGTAATGGATATTCACTGGACTATTGTGGTGGTCATTTTTCCATATATGCAAATATCATTACATTGTAAACTTGAAACTAATATAATGTTATGTCAATTATACCTCAATTTCAAAAAAGTACTATTGACATTTTAAAAAAAAATAAGGGGCTCAGATTTACCCATCCAGGTGTGCAGGGTCTGTGTGTCCTCTAAGTCACAGAGTGACAAACCCTCTTGATAGAGGAACTCAGGAGTTAAAGATTTTAGCTTCATTTTGGCTTCAGTCACAGTTGATAGGCTTAAGTGATTAATGCAAGTGCAAAGCTCTTATTCCAGGGATTGGAATGCTCGACCTATGTGACTCCAGGAGGTCCACAAGCAATTCAGCCTTTGTGCCCCAGGGGTCTGCAAGTGACGGAGATGGTATCTGAGCCATCCACAGATAAATACTAAGAAAATTGCCACAGACTGCAAGTTCTATCTGATTAACCTTTTCCTGAGCCCCTTACCTACCCTTTCCTTCTCCCTGTGAGAAAGATCAGCTTGAGATGAGATGTTAATACAGTTCTCTAGGGTACATAACCTGCTATCTTCTCAGGTCACTGGCATTGAATAAAGCGCCCATCAAGATTCAGTTCTTGTCTCTACTTATTGGTTCTGGTAGTGACAGGCAGCATGAATGCCAATTTCATTTCCTGGCAACTCCATGAGGACACCTCCAATACTCTCCAGTAAGTCTGGGTATTTGGCAGGGTGTCCTGTTGGCTGCTTGTGACGTAGACAGATCTGATCAGATCACTGGGGAGGAAGAGGAAGGAGCATAGGAGGAGGTTGCCTGAGGCGATGGTAAATGGTCTTAGACAGGATTGGCTGAGAAGCTGAATGCCTCCAGCATGGAATTATGGGCTAGAAGATTTGAAATGCAAAAAGGGCTCTCAGGCTTGCAGGCTCTTTGGCTCCCTCTTTTCCTCCAGGATGCCTGAATGATTGTGCTACAGCTGCCTTCATTTCCCAATGGACAGTATATTGGATGGGAAGGAACTTCGGGCACAGCCTAGGATCAGGCTGGCCTGGCAGAGGGTGGCAGGGTTATTTTTCTTTGGGTGTTCTAGAGGGGATAGGCTCTGAGGCAGAAGTTGGCTATTCTTCCAAAGTTGTGTAGCTTTTGTATCTTCTGTTGTTTTAGTTTGTGAACTAACTCTATAGAAATAAGATAATTTAAACTAACAGTGGGAATGATAGGATAACTCAGGTTTTAAAGAGTTTGGCCTTAATTGATAGGTTTAAGTGATTAAAGCTGTAACTAAACAGTTAAAGATTTTAGCCATAATTGATAGGCGTAAGTGACTAATGCATGTGGAAATCTGTTATTCCAAAACTGTGTAATTTTTGAGTAAATACCTCATTCCTTTATCACCAAACCTTGGCCTCTGGAATTTGCCCTACAGAGGGTGATAGTGGGCAGCAGGACCCCACTTGCTGTTCTGTAACACCTGGACTGGAGACTGCCTAGGAGCTGCCAAGTGATTTCACCCTGGGACTCTCCTACAATTCTTGGCTTCCCCATCACCTTCACTTTCAAATGAACCATTGCTCTTTCTGGTTCAGAACTGAAGTCCCAGGTTATGACTCAGAATGGCTGACAGGAATTAAGGTGTCATCTGGTTTGTGTGATATTACAGAGCTCTGTTTGGTAGAATGGGGAGGGGGATCCTCCATTCTAGTACATAGCACTTTGGAGTGAAAATGGCTGACTGGTCGACCTATGTTTATGAACCTAAGAAAATGTGGGGCAGGGTTTTGTTATACTGCTTGGCTTATGCATAATCTGGACTCGGGAGAATGCTGGCTGTGGAACAAGTCTTTAAACTAGTGTACTACCCTGCAATTAGAGTTGTTTTGTCAAAGATCAGGGAAATGGGGAAATGGTCCAGAGAAAAGGGAAGCCTGTGGCAGACAGTAGAAGCTCA